ATAGAAAAATCTCGACGACGATGGATAAAGTGGCAGATCGTGCTGTCCGTATAAAGGTACGATTGATCTGTTTGTCAGTCGAACGACGTCCTCGTTCCTGTACCTTCTTTTTTCCTTACCTTTCTTTTTCTTCCTTTTTTCCTTTTTTCCTTTTCTCTTTCATCGTACCTCTTTCTTTTGCCTTCCAACCTCACTTTCTCATTCTTATTCCCAACCGAACGACTTTCCACATTCACGCTTCTTTCGCCGCAAGCCCAAATAAAAGTAGAAACGAATCGCGCTTTCCGTGCCAAAAAACAGTTCTCGCATCCGATGTGATTTAAGTGGCAATCGCCTTCTCTTTTTCCTCCCTCTCTTAGGTACTCTTACTCTTCCTTTTTTCTTATCTCGAGAAGAAGAAGAAGAAGAAGAAGAAGAAGAAGAAGAAGAAGAAGAAGAAGAAAAAAAAACAGATAGTCAGGTGAATACGCTTCGCGCATATGAAGTCACAACCTTTTTCCATTTCGTTCGAAAATCGTTGTCTTCTCGTTAGACGAAGAAAACTTTGAAAAGCTTTCGAGTGATGGCTTTCAACGTGTCACGAAAGATCTGTCTTTTTCTTGTTCTTTTTCTTTCTTCTTTGGAACGATTTTAAGCGTAAAAGCAACCGGTTCCTCATCCTGCCTCGGCCATTTCTCTTGGCTGCACACTTTTGAAATCCCTTTCAAACGTTCGTTACGAAGACGATTGTCTTCTTCTTTCTTCGTTGACCTTAACTTAAGAAAAAAAAAGAGAAAAAGAGAAAAAGAGAAAAAGAGAAAAAGAGAAAGGAAAATGTTGTTCGAAAAAAGAAAAAGGTGAAAATTGTGTCCTAGGACACAGGTAAATGGGACACGCATCGTTAACCATACGATTTGTGGGTACGAAAGCGACGCTAACCGATCGTAAAAAAGCGAAATATTGTAGCAAGAGTCGAGCAGAGTAGTTAAACGAGCGCCCAGAGAGTATTATTTTCCTTCTTTACATTTTATTTTATTTATTTATTCTCATGTAGAAAACGAAAAAAAAGAAAAAAGAAATTAAGAAAAGATAAAAGTCGAATTTTGGTTTATCACCTTTAGTTAGGAAGAAAATAATATTGAATATATTTTTGGAAATTGTGGTAAATTGTCGTTAAAGGTATTACGGTTTTGGGTTGGCGTTGTTGCACAACACCCTACTTCGAGCAAAAGGTAGAATCCCGCGGGCGCGAGAAATCGTGATACCTTTTGGAAAATGGCTATCGCGCCAACTTCCTGCGGGATCGGCGGTTGGGGTTTACGTCGTTAACACTTTAGGTCAGAGCAGCTAAATGGCTTCGACCGAAGCTGTACTGCGCTTTCTCCTTCGTTCCAACCCTTATTCGGTTAAGCCCTAACTGTCCTCCTCTTAAGCTCGCATAATTTTCGTTCTAAGTACGGGAGAAATTGCATTTCTGCTCTGCTTGCTCTACGAAATTCTAACTTTCTCTTTCTCTTTCTCTTTCTCTTTCTCTTTTTATCTTTATCTGTCTGTCTGTCTGTCTGTCTGTCTGTATGTCTGCTTGCTGTGTGGTCCTCCCTTTATTTCTTCTTCCTTTCCTATTTTTTTTTATATTCTTCCGTTTCTGTTCTTTCTTCAGCATTCTTCTTCCTAACGTATTCCACGTTTTCCCTACGTGTTCCTCAAAGATTTAACATCCAAAGTAAACGTAAAACAAAGTAAAACTTTTCTAAAGATCTTACTTACTCTTGTTCTTGGTTTTTTTTTTTTTTTTTTTTCCAAAGCTTGTTTTAAAAGGAATGAGGCGGAGGCTGCTTTTTACGCACTGACTTTTTTCTTAACTTTGTCTTTATGTTTTTTTTGTTTTCGCGACTTTATGTAAGATGATGTAAAAAGATACTTTTACGTTGAAGATAACGAAGAAAATAAAATCTAGAATACAACTATAATCGGTAAATTAGTTAAGTTCATTTTACGTTGTTCGAACAATGAAATTTTGAAGAAGAAAAAACGGATAATGGTAAGGTAAATCGTTATAAAGAAAATATTCTTGATGAACAGCAAAGTGAATAATATTTGCTGGTAAGTAATTCTAACTTGCTAGCAAAACCGATAGCTGACTAGATCAATGTTTGATTTACTAGAACGCTAGGTCAGAATCGCTTCTGTTTGGTTGTCAGTCGAGTATGGAGTTTGCGTATAGCATAATCCGGTTGTCGAATAGGTCACTGCACCCTGAGTGCCTTATAATTTTACCTGTGTCCACTATAGGATAACGAGGCTAACGAGGAATCCTCTGAAACTCGATCGATTATGAACATTATGTAAAATAAGACATGGTATATATAACATGACGGCTTTAGAAAGTCGGAGTCAAGAATACCAATGTTATTAACAAAGTTTTATTCAAATATTATTATATATCTTTGTAGATGAAAATAATTTGAACAAAAGAAAGTAATTATCTCGACTAACTTAATATATTCGAGCCTGTAATAAATTGAAGTTAAATTATTCATTAGCGAGCACTTAAAATTGTTAAATGATTACCTGTGTTATTAACCGGAAGTCCACCTTTGATGGGTAGGCCAACGGAAGTACTTGCTTTTGAGGAAAAGCTGAAGTATGCCAAGAATTGGGACCTCGTGGTGTTCTCGTTTATTCTGAAACACGTTTGAGCACACATGTTTTGTCAAAAATTTATCTCTCTCTCTCTCTCTCTCTTTCTCTTTCTGTAGTCGTTTTTATTCGTAGTCATTCGGGAAGCGCATATAAATAAAAAAAAAAAACAAAAAAAAATCACGATAAATATTATGCCGTAGTTATACGTGTAAAGATATATAAGTACTACGTATGTATCTACGTATGCACATTTCCAAGCGGTGGTGGTCAGGATATTTACGAGAAAATCTCATGTGGTCCACGCGTTTCAAAGATTTACGAATGTTTAAAGGTGATATACGAGCAGATAGGAACGATTCACCAACGCGATTTATTGCGGCTTATTCTTATTATTTTACATAACCTCGATCTCAAATTCCAAAGAACTTTTATTACCTCTGTCTCTTTCGTTTAGGAATATCAGGGGACGAAAATTCTTCGACAAATATTCGTCAACGTCGCGCGGTTGCTTGAAATATTGGAAAAGTCGATATATCATTCTTCTTTCGTCGTGACAATCCATGTTGGAATCAATTTTTCGAAAATAGGTTGTAAACCGCCGTTCTTTCGATGCTTTTGACTAAAAATTATTTCTCCAGGAAAAACTCGTAAAAGCGTTGAATTTGAAGGAAGATAATATAAGGGCAAACAAGAAAATCTACATAATACATATCTCTGCTATTTTTTCATAAAGAAATAAAAGGAGGAAACTTATATATCGCATTGTTTTGAGAAATCGTTCTATTCGAAAAAAAAAGATGAATTTCTTTTAAAGTTTGGTAAGATATCGATTGTAAAAAATCGAAAGAGAATCGTTTGTTTTATTGGTGAAATGTTTTTTTTTAAAAAAACAAGCGCGTCTAGGGAAGACTTTAGAGGAACGGACGTGAATCGATATCGGAAGTTTACGGTCTCCTCTCTTGGTATAAAAGTGCGAGAAAGAACTTGATACTTAGCGAAAACTGACCTCCATCGACGAACCATCTCTCAGCTCTTTTAATATTGTATGAGGATGCCGTAGTTCTTCTTTCGTCTTTTCAAATAAAACTTCGAATTACTTAGAAGCTTGTAAAAACTCCCCTCACTTTGAATATTTTATAAAACGATCGATTGCAGACAGCACAGCACAGCACAGCACAACACAACAACAACAACTAAAAAAAAAACTCGATTAATTTCAATTTGTATAAATACGAAGGCAACAAAAGAAATGAATAAAATTCCGAGTTGATTAACCGTATTTCTCAATGCTTATCTATTGCAAGAAGACTTCAATGGATTACATGAGTGGTGTTTGAATAATAAACTGTCTCTCAACATATTTTAGTGTTATACAGTTCATTTTAATCGTAAGACAAATTTCTTTCCATTTAATTATTTTCTAAACTCTTTTGTCTTATCTTCGCTTAATTCTGTTAAACACTTTGGTATTATATTTTATTCACAAAATGTCTAATCATGTTAAAAATACTAATATATTAAAAGAAGATATCTTCCTTCTTGACAATGCAATTGATAACAAAGAACAATTGGTTAATTATTTGGAAAATTAGGAATACTTTCCGTTAATGAACAAAAGTCAATAAAGTAAAAAATGGGGTAAGATAAAGGAAAAGTAATGTTTTGTGTCGCGTACCCATGAGACGTGAATTACGAACGTGAATCAAGCTGTCGTGGTGGTATACAACTCTCGTGTGAACATGCTATCATGAAGATTGCTTGAAAAGTCAACACTTTTACGATTCAGCCGCGACAAGTTTTATTTTTAGTGGTAGTAACAGCGAACACGGTGGGACGCGCGAAACAGGGATGTTTATGCAATTGAACGATAATTATACTCTTGAGTTGTTTTCACAGTAGTGAATTAAAAATGTTACGAGAACAATTAAAGCTTTCTATTAAACAATAAACGTGGAATTAAACTAAAGTGTACACAAAGGAACGTAACTCACGTTCTTGGGATTCTACAAAGTTACCCTTCGCGTAATAAAATAAGGACGAAAACAAAAATATACCCTGAGGGTTTTTCTTCTCACTCTTTTTCGAAAAAGAAAAGACTTAAGTGTTTAACAAAAAGATGGGATAGAAAAAGAGAAAAATATCGTTGCAATAAAAATATCGTACAAAATGTTTCTACTATATTATAATAAATATATAAAATAAAACCTACAAAAATGTCCATTTTTTTCTTAATGTCGAATTTTGAATTAATCGAAGAGATACACCTTTTATTCGCAATTTTGAAGAGATCTTTAACACGTGTTTTCCCTAAGTTTTATTGACCAAAGTTACTAGAATTTTTGCCGAACTAAATGAAGAACCCAACTGCGGAATTGGAATAAGGGTTCGCAAGCTCGTTACTGTAACAAACTTCTTTCCACGATGCGATTCGAATTTCGATCGAGGAAAGATCGTAGATTTTTCCGAATCAACTTTTCACGTGAAATCGTGTTTGTCCATACTTACGACTAACAACAAAAATTTACCCTTCTTTCTCTTTCTCTCTTTTCTCCCCTATTTTTCCGTTATTTGCAGTAAAAATAAGCTTCCAAAAAATATTAAAAAAAAAACCTTTTTATAGATTTTTTCTTCTAACAAACTTTTTAATGAAATTTTCCAACAATTTGGTCTCTACGGTAAATAGTTTGGTAGCAGTGAAAATAAATTGAAGTTTCATTTTTGTTCTCATTAATTGCCACAGTTCGATGATGTTAAAGGAAGGTAAATAATGGGTGAGGTTAAAGATGAGCGTTTATAAAAATGCGTCTGTAGTGGTATACAACACACCAAGTACTCTTTTTTGTCGACAGAATCGATTCAGCATCATTTCTCTGTCTACTTCTTTAAACAAAATGTTCTCTTTCCTTTTGAAATATTTCACCTACTTCGTTCTTATTCTTCTAGCATTTCCCATTATAGCTCGACGTATTCAATGTTGCCACTGATACACGTGGTGGTTTCTTCAATGAAAATTCAAAAAGATCCTTCCGATCATTCCTTCCTTTGTTGGTGTTACAATGAAAATAGATAGAAACGCGAAAGAGAAGCTAAAAAGGGGGAAAAGGATGGGCAATTCAAAATTGATGTAACAGGGACACATACCTACTACTCGTAATCATCGACAAGAAAAAAGTGAATCAGTTAGAATAACAACTGAGTAGTTGGTTTCCATGCAAATTGGAGATTAGGTTGAAAAAAGCGACAAGAAAATGTCACCGTTATGGTAACAAGCTTTGAAACGTTATCTCGGACACATTGGAATCTTTTAATTGCGTTATTTGCATTGTAGTTTGGTATAGAAATTGGATGTTGCGTGAACAGATTCAAATTGGAATATCGAAGTAGCGAGAGTTAATAAAATGCAAGATGGAACAATCTGAAAATAAATATATAAGGATTAATCGTTAATGCTTCATTTATTTAAAAACATAATTATATGAGATTGCTACTATGTCTTTTAATAATTTATTATAAATTTAGATTAAATGCAAAATACTGCGTATGCAATAGGTTTCATTAATTTCTAATGGAGATGAAAAATAATAATTAATATGCGTATATCGACTATTATTAATAATTAATTATAAACGTATTTATATATAAATATGAATATTATAACAGGTGCAAATACAGAAATTTCCTTGATTGATTGGTAATATGTTAAATTTGGATTTAGCGATTGCTAGCGAAGGAAATAACTTTTCGATCAAATTTCAAGTCCCGAAAAAAGGGTTGGAGAAGGGAAAAAAGATTAGAAAGGAAAAAGTATATCGACGAAAATTGTTGTAGTAGCGTGGTCCGTAGAAAAGGCACGTTTCTTTGGCCGATCATTCTTTTGTCAGTTATTGGTAACTTTTCCTTAGGATTTCGAAACAGACGGGTTTTATGAACGACGAGGAAAAGAAAGAGAAAGTTAAAGATGGAAATAAAGGAACCCCGACGAGATGTAGCAAAAATTCCTAGAAAACGTGGAAAGCGTGGAAGAGTTTTAGTGCGACTGGATAGGCTGAAAAAGAAAGAGAGAGAGAGAGAGAGAGAGAGAGAAAGAACATTCCATTGAAATGCTTCTTCATCCTCACTTTCAAGTGTCTGTAAATCCATATCTCTTCGCAAAATCTCGCGTATGTGCGCATAACGTGTCTCGCTCGTTGAGGTGGAAGTGACACACGCGATACTGCCAGAGAGGATTTTACATTTCGATCGCATCGAACAAGAGGAAATCAAATTTTTCCCTTTTTCCCATATACACACACACACACATACAAATGCATACCCGGTGCGAACGAAATTCTACACGAGAGTAGTAATATAAAGATACGAATGTGTATTATTAAAAAAGAAAAAATGTAAATGTGTTAGTAATTTCGTGTAAGAACGATAGTGTTGTAAGTCATGATCTGTCGTCGTTTACAATGATAAATTGAAAATTATTTAAGAATAACGTATGATAAAATATGTTTTTTAATATCTCAAATGACTCGGACCATTTTCTTACTCGCTTGCTGGCACATATTTTTTCGGCATGAAGAAATCGATTTTTGCTTCAACGAAAAAGCGCTCTTTTCGTCTTCTAGTTTTTCGAACATTTTTCTCGACAACACATCTGCCTCCCTCAAACTTAAAAGCACGAAAACTATGATATTCGATTTAGAAAGGAAATTCGCGTGACGCGATGATACGTTCTGTTGTTTCGGTATTTTAACGGTAATGCTTTTCTTTTTTTTTTGCTGTCGTTTTTAACGAGTTTAAAAAAATAAATGTACTCTTTTATCTTTATGCCCATAGGTATCAAAAGGTTTGAAGAAAAAAAAAAATATTAATTAAATTTGTCACAATGTCGTTTTTCGATGCAAATTTCACATAGATATAAATATATAACAAAGTAAAAGCTTATATTTTGTATTTTACAATACACAGTTACCTGGTTGCATTTCAACAAGGGAACTGTATTTCGATTGTTAAAATAAGCGAGTATTATCGATCGTGCTTTAGAAATTTTGTT